AGAAGTGGACGAGATCGATGAGGTAGCGTATGAGCAATCGCAAACAAAAACTGAGAAAAGCCAGAGATCGAAGAACTACACGATCTTGGAAGATCAAATCCTGATCAGGGCATGGAGTGCGATGTCTCTTGATGCATGCACGGGTACTTCTCAAACCGCCAAGAGGTATTGGCAAAGGATCGAAGATCAATACTTACGCATGATGGCAAAGTACCCCAATAGGACTCCACGCACATTTCGGTCGCCTCAAGGGTGTTGGGATGTGATCAAGCCTATGTGCAGCCGTTGGGCAGCTTGCTTGGAGCAAGTACGCAATGCACCTCCAAGTGAAACCGTGGAATCCGACTATGTGAGTTTGTTTTGCCTTTGTTCAAGTTGTGCACATCATATTGCATCATATGAAATGATTGCATCATTTCACTTTGTTCAAATTGTGTAGGACCCAACATAGATACAAAGACATGGAAGCTTCGGAAGGCAAATTCTTCAAACTAGAGCATTGTTGGGACTTGCTCAAAGAGTGCGAGAAGTGGAAGTTGATCGACAAAGAATCCCCACCGAAGAGAGGTTCACTTACAAACATGGATGAAGATGAGGATGATGATGGCCCAAGAAATTTGAACAAGCCCGATGGCGACAAGAAGACTAAGGAGAAGATGAAGAGAGAGAGCACGAATCATCGAGCTTGAGGGAGAAGATTGATGGCATGGTGCAATCAAATGAGTTGATGTTGTTGAAGTCGTTGGAGATCAAGAAAGAGTTGGCCGAGAAGAAGGCAAGGGAGAAGCAAGAAAAGTGGCAATTGCTCAAGGAAGAGGGGCTGCGCAAAGCGGTCATTGAGGAGAGAAGAGCATGTGCCGCTGAAAACAAAGCCATGTCTAAGTTGCTCGCCGAAGAGAACAAGATCATGACAATGAACCGCAATGACATGGACGACCTCACCAAAGAATGGCATGATATAGCAAGGAGAGAAATCTTGAAGAGGAGAATGGTTGCGTCGGCCAGTGCGTGTTACAGTGCCGGAGATGTTTTCTCTGCCCCATATGGTGCCAATGTCAATGATTTCGGTGCGGGAGTTGGAACAAGTGTCGGAGGTGGATTCGGTGGTGGCGATGAACTTCAAGATGGACTCGATGGCGTCGAGTGAAGATCGACCAAGATGATGCCGGACGTGGTCGTCACTTTTGCAAGACCCTCTTTTGCGTTTGTCCTACTAAACTGAAGCTTTTATTTGCGCCTAAACTGTGTTATGTTGTTTGAATTTAAACTTATTTGTCCAAACAGATGTTAAATTCGAGAACTGGGCGTCTTTGGTTTGCGGGTCAACGCGGCGGTGCCCGAGCAGACCCCCCAAAAAGCCGACCCGTAAAAAAGTATATTCTGCGCATATCCTTTTATACGGGTCCGTGTGGGGGGTCTGCCTCTGCGGCCGTCCACGCCGGCCCGCAAAGCCCTTTTTCCGCGAACTGCAAACGCGTTTTGCAGGCCGGCGGGATGCGGGGTCTGCTAGAGATGCTCTTACAAGTGACTCCACAAATCACATAGATAGTTTGGGCAAGGCCGAAGTAGGATGGTGGATCAAGCTCCACTCATCTCTTCGATTTGACCATGACTTGTTCACCAACAGCAACCATTGTAGTGCCTGCTCCAAAATCTTTATTAAATTCCGTTGTTGATATTCAAATGTCAAGGCCGTCTCAACCTGAATTATCTTCCATGGCTGAATCTTAAAAATTAATGCATGTATCATTGCAAGAAAAATCATAGCACAATAAATCCTTGTGTAGTTATATTAGCTGAATAAGGCCTGAATGTTGGCTGCATTCACATGGGCTGGCTGATGAGGGCATTCGTTGGGCAAAGTTCGGTGCTGAACTTTTCAGACAAATGGTGTATCGGAGATTACAGTGCATACAAGATGGTCCTTGAGTTCATGGATACATTTAAATTGCATAACAATCAACATCGAAAGAGATTTTTGCGAGTGTTATTCCTTTTAATATCACATGATCTGTTGGTTTGATGAAATGTATATTGTAAATCTGGTGCTACATAATCCTTTTTTTATGATGTTATTTCGTTTCTTTTGTCGAAAGATTTTTTTTATACTATGTGCAAATATATCAATAGGATGTCAAATATTCCAGGCTTAATCTATAATCTATATGTAGACCCGCCTTTTTCTATGCTTTGATTTCTGAGGCCTGATTTAGCTTGGGCACCCCTTTATTTTTTCCAGAAAATGGTGACATTTGTGCATCGAATAGACGCTTCGGCATTATCATATCTGTTATTAGTCTTCCCTTTTTTTTGTTGCTGGAATGTTATTGGCCTTCCTGACAGAGGTATTTGACATATACAACAGTAAATTTTCAGGCAGTATCCTTTGGTACAAGGTGCATCGCAGGTGCACCATTACTAGTTCAACGATGAAAAGCTGTGCCCGTCCTAGTTCTAGGAAGGCACCACAGCTCGAATGGTTGGGGCATCGAGAAAACCAAGAACAAGATGAATGGGAGCAACAGTTACGCCACAGTATCCCATCCCGGTGATGGATGAACACAAAGCTATTGTTAGATTTGATTTTACAGAGATTTTCGAGGACCCATCACCGTGGCCTTCGCGGTTACAGTAAACTACTATGAGAAAAAGGAAGAGTGGCAGTTCAATAACCAGACTAAAAATAAAGAACACCAACTGCAACAAATGCCAAGTCGCTAACTACTAGTCCCTAATAAGTGTCGTGGTTTTAGTTCAGAGTACTAGATCTTAGCGGTACTGCTGCAGGAGTAAAACGAGTACAGAATAACATCACTGATACATGGAGAACTCCAGGCAGAACCTTCCGTCCTGTAATTCCATCAGGAAAAGAGGCTTCCAAGAGATTCACAATTCAATCAGTCAGGAGAAACTTCTCCGGCACGGAATAAGGATCCAGCTCCAAACAGCCTCGAAGCTTGCCTCCTCCTTCGTTTGTCAGATGGAAGCAAGGGATCTGGTGAGAGAACTTCAGGTACTCATCCTTGCCTATGGTCTCCACAGTTGTCTCCTTTGTAAATACTGCCCTGTAACCATCAACCTTTCTTAACAGCCGAACTCGTATGGACGAATTAGTGTGGCAGAATATCTCCACCAACTGATAGTCACAGCTGCTAAAATGGCGTGCAGTCCATCCAGCCTTCCAGTCCTTGTAAACGGCCCAGACCTCACCAAGGCGAGGCACGATTTCATATTCGTTTCGTCTGCCAGTTGGTCTAGCAAGCACAAGACGAGAAAAGCATTCTGCTATTTCTGCACCAGTGTAAGTCATAAGGCCCTGCGCAGTGGAAACCTTAAAGGTTCCGCAGCCAACAGGCCGATCTTCTGTCACCAGTCTTCTCTCCTCCTCTCCCCGGGGGCATGCATCAAGCCATCTTGCTTGTACTTTGTTGTTCTTGAGATCAACACTCTCTATGAAGGCATAGTAATTGGGGAACTTATCGATATCGCTGTAGATGGACCAGATCTGCCCAGGTCCGAACTTGGGAAGCAGTCTTGTTTCTGAAAATTCATAGAACTCTGAATCCGGACATTCATATTCTGTTCGGACAATATCTTCAGATTTCTCACCAACATGTGTACATTCTACAGCAGATGGAGTGTTATGCTCTGTCTTCTCTTCTTTTGGCATCTTTGCAAACGTCCATGTGTTCATGCATGTCGCATCTTGCTTCTCTCCGTACCTAACGGATCCCTTGCGAGAGTTATTTCCACCTGATGAACCAGGACATTTGGCATCAAACTCCTGACATTTTGCTGAACTTTTTTCCAGGACAACAGAAGCAAAGGCCTCTTCCAAATGAAGGGGGAGTGCTGCAGGATCGAGCTCAAGACTTCCTTGTGGAACGCCTTCTCTTTCAGTTCCACACATCAGATGATGAGGGACACAATGTGAAAACCTCAGTGTGCTATCCCGCGGTATCGGGTACGCACTTCCCTCTTTTGACTGCATAAATAAGCTGACGAAACCTTTTATTTTTACAAGCGGCATGACGATGATGCTAGTTCCTGTAGTGAAATCAGAGACAACTTGAACAACCTCATACTCATAGTTTGTGTGGTTGCCAGCATCTGAACCCCAACCAATGTCCCATCCCTTAAAAAGGGCCCAAACTTCACCTTTCCTAGGATATATATCATAGGAGTTTCTCATCTTGCTTTTCTGACAGGAAATAGTATGAGAGAACATGCAAGTTTCTTGAGCTGTTTCTGATTTTCCACGCCTGAAATGTCCACAAGCAACAGGCAGTTCCCCACAAGACCAAGCCAGCTCCTCTTTATTTGTGGGATCAAACTCCAGCCAAATAAAGTGTACCATAAACTTGGGGGCCCTCTTTACCTTTGTAATTCGAGCATAAGATCTTGGCATACAGCTTCGACTATCATAGACAGCCCAGACCTGGTTCATTCTAAACTGATTTACACCTCGAAGTTGGTCAAAGTTGAAAAATTCAGGACATGATACTTTTGCTTGAACAATATGACCAGATAGCTCATCAACATCTGTACCTCCTACAGAAAATGGAGTGTTATGTCCTCTGTTCTCAGCCGCCGGTGTCTTTGTAAAGATCCCTGCATTTGTGCACGTAGCATGTTGCCTCTCCCCAACCTTCATGGATCCCTTGTGAGAATTATTTCCACTGGATGAGCCAGCATATTTGGCATCAAACTTCAGGCCTTTTAGTGAACTGCTTTCTGGAACAACACAGGTAAGAGCCTCTGCCAAGTTAAGGGGAAGAGCTGTAGGATCAAGCTCCAGAGCTCCTTCTGGAATGCCTTCACTTTCAGCTCCACTCATCAAATGATACGGGACGCAATGTGAGAACCATACCGTGTCCTCCTGAGGTATCAGGTATGGAGTGGCCTCTTTAGACTGTATAAATAAGCTAATAAAGACTTTTATCTTTACAAGCGGAATGACAACGATACTGGTGCCTGTCGTGAAATCAGAGAGGACCTGAACAACTTCATATTTGTAGTTCTTTTGGTTGTGAGCATCTGAACTCCAACAAATATCCCATCCCTTGAGAAGGGCCCAAACTTCACCTTTCCTAGGATATATCTCATAAGAGTTCCTTCTACCAGTGAATATGGCATGTACAGGATGAGAAAAGTGTTTCGTGTCGGTGTAAATCGTAATACCACGGGTGGTGGAGACCCTATATGTTCCGCACCCAACAGTTCGATCTTCTACCAATCTTTTCTCCACCTCCCCATCAGGACAAACTTCCAGCCATCTTGCATGTACTTTATTGTTCTTGAGATCAACTTTCTGTATCAAGGCATAGCAGTTGGGACACTTATCTTTGTCACTGTAGAGTGCCCAGACCTGCCCAGGTTCGAACTTCTGAAGCGATCTAATTTCTGAAAATATTCCTGCATTTTTCCACACCCCAGCAAACTGTTGATCTGGACCAGAAGGAGCAGGTTGCTCAGTTGAAACATGTGCTATAAAGGGCTTCGAGCAATTCTGGCAGCGGACAAATTTCAACAAAATTGCATGGTGGTACTGATATTTGGTGCCACAAGTTGGACAGATGGTCCAAAATGTTTGTGGCTTTGCAGAGTTTGAGCCACGCAGCTGTTGTCGTTGACACTCATTATGGAGACTCATAGTAGTATGAAGTGAGATATACTACTTCCAGATAACAAAGGACAAACTGTAGACCAAAAAAGTAACTTGTGAGCCTGCAAAACACAGAATTATGATAACGAGTACACTCTAAAACAGAAGGACAGAAGCGCTTCTTGCTAGTATACAACAAGCAACAAAAGAACAACACTCGCTTTCTTGCCACCCTAAAAAACAAAATTAAATCAGAAGGAAGTAATATTTTTTAGCTATTGTTTCCAACATCAAATACCTGGTTTTTTCATATGTTGCATTATCTATTTATGTTTCATAAGATAAGGCAATAGGCTAAACATGTGGCAGATCAGTTTCTAGATGTATGTGCTCAACTGATCAGAAAGCACTCCCGCCCAGCAGGGTTCAGTTTCCTATATTCCAGTAAATTCTGCATATCACTGGAGGTTAGTCGCCATGGTTCTCCGGTGGATTGTGGTTAACGTGTATTTTGCTCTCCTTTTTGGTATCTTTCTCAGTATTTTTATGAAGGACAATTACAACTCCACCATAGGTGCCTTGTACTCTCTGCCTTCTCTGGTGTTCTTCTAATGCACAATGACACGCATTTAGATGCGTGTTCGAAAAGAAGAAAAAAGGACAATGACAACTGATAGCTTGGGAAGATAATAAAGCCACTCCATCCACTACAAAACGAAGAAAAATAATGGTGACCTTCATCAGTGACTTCAGTGAGTGGAATCACTTAATACATCAGATGTCTCTCTACCTTCTGTGCAAGTTCAGTTATTACACATCAAATTTGTCTTTATTCGATCATGTATTTCTTTAATGGTCTAATTTCTATTTCTTGATTCTTTTTATTAGATAAAGGAAATGGTCACGTCGTCGTACTCTAGTTATCACCCAAACTACAATACGCGCAGTCCACTCATCAGTGGCCGGTTCTTCAAGCTCCACTGGAGAACTCCCTTACAAACTCTAAAGCTAATAATCACCTCCATTGGCTGTGAACCTCACCACCAACCATGCCATCTACTGCTACTTCTTGCTGGTTGCTTTATGTTATACTGGTTGAGCGAACCGATTTTGATAATCAGTGGATGTAATATAAACGATTCTGGAATTAAGAGCCAAACATGTTTTACTTTAATACCAGCTGGTGTTGTATCGATGGGACTGCAGATGCTTAAAAAGGAAGTGGCATGTGGATACAGATAAATATACTACAAGCAAGGGCACTGGATGTCGTACATGGACGAATTAAATTCAGAAAAATAAGACAGAATTTGCAGAAGCAAATCTTTCGTAGCAAGTTCTACAAGCTTTTTCTTCATATATATTTACTACAATGAAGAATAACATTTCGCAGCTTTTATATCTCGTAACAAAGTTTCAACGATATCGTGTGTAAATGTAATCGTTGGTGTCCTTGAAAATTGGCAGCATAATTTAACAAAAGCCTGAACCAAGAGCACATATTTTCTGTACAAAGCAATGTGATTGAGAAAGCATGCCAACGAAGATTCTAATAAGGTGTCTTTAAGTTCATTAGCCATGGATTAGTGAAATATTTTTACTATAATCATCACCATATTATACAAAGGAGAAAAGTAAAGTGAACGATCATAACATAACCAGCTAGGATTTAAACTATAATAACAGGCTCAAACATAGTGATGACTTGGTTCAAAATATATTGGGATTTGAGAGGTTTGGTCATTAAGTTGTGGCACCACTAACTGATGCCAAATGGCCAGAGGCAATATCTTGTCATGCAGATGTAGTGATGACAAACAAGCAGATGCATAGAAATAAAATTATTTAGAATGCAGTCCAGCATGTAAATTAGCAGAGGAAACAGAGTTATGTGTATCTGCTTGTGCATGTGCGTTTCAAAGAACGATAAGGTTGTAAACGGAAAATCAAGAGTTCATACTTACTGCAAGCCACGGGAAAATGTGTCTCGTTAATGTTTGTTTTCGACTTACCAGTGTGCTCACAATCGTACAAACTTAAAAAATATAAATGGCACATGCAACCACCAACCAATATCATTCTTATTATTACTTTGCTCCATCTCATCAGCACAGAAAGGATAGGAAGCTAAGAGAAATAAACAGAACAGTTTTCAGTTTTCACCCTTGATATTTTTCCGAAACAGAGGCAAGAGCTTCGCCTTGTCTCATTAACTAAGAAGATTGTTGCCCCATTAATCAGAGGAAAACTGTACAACAACCAGAATCTGCCTATTCGTCTTTCCCTCCAAAAGAACAGAGAAACAAAACTCTAGTTTGATAACAAAATTAGGGGGTGTATATAATTGTTATTTCAAGAAACAAAACTCTAGTTCTGCACCCCCTTTTTTGCTAAAAAAAATCAATTTGCCCTGTTTTTGCTATGAAAAACATCCCCCCTCCCCTTTTCCCCATAACAGAGAAAGATTCTGCACATCGGAATTCAGAAGCCCACTTTGACAATACAGAAGCATGTTTCCCAAACAACGAGACCAACAGAGATATCACGCCTTCGGTGCCTAGGAGTCTGAACAAACTGAGCTCATTCACGGCTACGAGCTTGGTGATCGGCGTGACGAAGCAACCCAAAATCAGCGCGTGAAAGGGAACGGCTCAAGTTCCTCCGAACCCTAGCCGATCAAAAAGGAGATCCTAGATATCCAACCCAGCAGCCATCCAGATTTGCCCCCAAAAATCCAAAACCATCACGTCAGGACCTACGCTGTTCAATCAAATGCGGAGCCTTTTGTTGTCTCAGCGCATGCACGGGAGGTGACGGGAGGGGAGACAATGCACATACCTAAATCGTCGACGGCCGGCAATGCGCGACGATGGGGACCTGCGGCGGATGGCAGCGGCAGGGCGAGGCCGACCGGACCGACGAGGAAGAGGAGGGGAAGAGGCAGAGCGCAGAGGGGGTTTAGTAGGAGGGGAAGTGAGGAAGGACGGTATGGAAATGCTGGATGCATGACATGAACCAACCAAGATTAATGCTGGGTTTACTTATTTTTTAAAGGATCCCACACTTTATTAATTAGAAACTACTACTCCCTCCGTCACGGTTTAGAAGGCGCACATAGAAATTCTCTGGGACCTAGGTGGTTATCTATTGGTTGTGGGATGGGCTAAAAAATAGCATTCACACTACGCATGCATATAGAAATAGTATATCGAAGTACTAATTAGCTACTAGAAATAAATGCAATGCGCCATAAACCTTGTTTATTGTGGAAACGCACGCAAATTTAACTGCGTCTTCTAAAGCGTGACGGAGGAAGTACCTCCGTCCTGGTTTATTGGTCCCCATTGTACTTCGTGCCAAATTTTGACCGTAAATTTAACTAATAAAATGTTCATGCACGTCACAAAAAATTATATCATTGAAAACAATGTTCAAGTACGAATCCAGCGATATAATTTTTATTGACATGCATTAACATTTTGTTAGTTAAATCTTTGGTCAAAATGTGGCACAAAATACAATGGGGACCAATAAACTAGGACGGAGATAGTATGTTCAGACTAGCCACAATGGGTAGTAACATAGAGTAGTAACATAAACATGTTACTAGTCTATCTTACTACCTCTACAGTGGGGAGTAACATATGTGTCGTAACATGCAACACTTCATTTATTAAGCTATAGAGACATCTTGCCTTGATATGTGTGATGTTACTCATACTACTAGTAACTAGCTATGTTACTACTTTGCTCTCCTTCTTCATTTATTGTTTGCCATATCACCTATTTTATCTAGATATGTGTAATGTTACTACCTATGTTACTTCCATTGTGGGTAGTCTTATAGGGATACAAAGGGAGTCATGAGGGGATAGAAACCACAAATGGCAACCCTGCGAAAGTGAGATAGAAAATTTCACAAGGTTGTGGGCCTCTAGATTCGAAGCACGACCTTCAAATACAAAATCACAACTAGCAAAATACCCTCTTTTATTATTTTATCTCCTTGACGACTGTGATATGGGGGCCTCCTATCCCCTTTTTGATGTCATCCACAATCGGCTTGCAGTCACATGCAATCACCAAGTGATCCAAAGATAAATCAGCCGCAAGTGCCAAGGCCTCACGACAAGCAATGGACTCTAAAATTGTAGGATTTATAACCCCAGGTAGAACAATTGCTGAGGACCCGAGGTACTAACCATGTTCATCCCTGCACACTGCTGCCGGAGCTCCAACACGCCTATCATGGGACAGACCCACATCTACATGGATTTTAACATGTCCACTTGGAGGTGCTTTCCAAGAGCTCCGCCTCATTGTCACATGTGCGCGTCCAGCCGGAGTGGAAGTGCTAACAATCATATTCACATCATCCAACTCAGTAATGAAGCTTTCTATGAAGCGATGAGTCGACATTGGGCTTTGAAATATTGACTCGTGTATAGCTTTTCTACACGCAGTCCATATTGCCCAAAGAGTGACGACCATCTTTACAAACTCCATATGTGATAATGCATCCATCATGTTAAAGAGCCTACTGTTTAGCACTGGGTTCTTGAGACTCAACAATATGATCAGTTAATTCCTCGTCACCTAAGGCCCACACACACCTCAATGTTGTGCAATCAATCAACGAGTGCCTCCATGAATCAGCTGCTCCACATAGTTGGCAAGAATCTGTGTCACACATGTTTCTATGGTGGCGAACGTCCTCTGACGACAAAGAATGTCTTGCGAGCCTCCAAAGAAAAGTTCTAATTTTTCCTGGAACTTTGGTGTTCCACAAAGATGACCAGCACTTCTCCGCTGCCGTGCTATTGGATGAATCTCCTCTATCGAGCAAGTTATCTCTCATATTTCTCAAATTCACCAACATTCGATATGCCGACCTGACAGAAAATGCACCTTTCTTTTCAAATTGCCATGCCCAGAAGTCAGTCATTGGTGTCGTGCAAAGAGGTATATTCTTTATAACTTGAATATCAGACGGAAGAAAAAACTGGTGCAACTTACCATATCTCCAAGCTGCTGAGGTATTGTCAATC